GGTCCTTGGGTGCTGGGGGGGAGGGGGGTCCCTGGGTGCTGGGGGGGAGGGGGGTTCCTGACACCTTTGGGTGCTGGGGGGGGTCTCGGGGGGGGTCCCAAGGTCTGAACTCTAAAAATACACGTGGTGGAGCTGAGAGTGGTGTGGAATGAATGGGGGGGGGGCAGTGGGATGCGTTGGGATGTGCTGGGATGCACTGGGATGTTGTGGGTTGCGTTGGGATGCATTGAGTTGCATTGGGATGCACTGGGATGCGTTGGGATGCACTGGGATGTGTTGGGATGCACTGCGATGCATTGGGTTGCATTGGGATGCACTGGGATGCGTTGGGATGTGCTGGGATGCACTGGGATGTTGTGGGGTGCGTTGGGATGAACTGGGATGCACTGGGATGCGTTGGGATGCTTCAGGACGCTTTCTCCTCACCGCGCATGCGCGGAGTCCCCGCCTCAACTCCCCCCCATCTGACTACAGCTCCCATCGTCCCCTTCGCGGCGGCGCAGGCGCTGTGCGCGGCCACTGTGCGCGTGCGCGGGAGGGGGTTGCACCCCGGAAGCGGCGCGGAGAAGGCGGAGCGGCCGCGCCCGGCACCTGCCCGGTGAGCGGGGGAGGGGCGGCTGCACCGGGCGGAGCCCGGGGCACGGGCCCGGGGGCGGGGGGGGGAGAGGGGGCGGGCCCGGCCGCGCCGCTCGGTTCCGGCCGCTGGGCCCGGGGACGGCGCTCGGGGAGCGGGGGGGGGGACGGGGGGTCCCTGCAGGCCCGGTCCCCGCCCCCTTCCCCCCCCGGGGTCACCGGAGCCCCCCCCTCCCCTCTCTTCTCCCGTTCCCCCCCCACGCTGCGGGCCCGGTGGCACCGGCCAGGCCCACGCGGGACCGGGGCGGGCGGGGACACGTGACCACGCCCCCTCAGCGGCGGCCACGCCTCCCTCAGCGGCGGTCACGCCCTCTAGCTCCGGCCGCGCCCCTTCGGCCCACCGCGCTGCCACCGTCCATATATGGGCATGGCCCGAACGCGGCTGTCTGATTGGGCGGCGCGGTCGTGACGGGGGCGTGGCAGCTGGAGAAGGGCGGGGCCTGGCGGCGGTCGCGCCGCGAGCGCTTTAACGGCAAGGTGCGGTGAGGGGGCGGGGCTTGGGGTGAGGGCGGGGCTTGGGAAAGGGGCGGGGAGTGAGTGGGGGGGTGTGCAAAGGAGGGGGGGCGTTGGGATCACCCCATGGGACCCACAGTTGGACTCACAGCCCCATAGTGGGTCCGTTCTGGTCCCACCAGACCCATATGGGATCCATTCTGGTCCCATCAGCCCCATAGTGGGTCTATACTTGTCCCACCACCCCCATAGTGGGTCCAAACTGGTCCCACCAGCCCCATACCAGCCTCATACTGGTCCCACCAGCCCCATAGTGGATCCATCCGGGTCCCAACAGCCCCATAGCGGGTCCATTCTGGTCCCACCAACCCCATATTGGGTCCATTCTGGTCCCACCAGCCCCATAGTGGCTCCATTCTGGTCCCACCAGCTCCATAGTGGGTCCATCCGGGTCCCAACACCCCCATAGTGGGTCCATTCTGGTCATGCCAGCCCCATAGTGGGTCCATTCTGGTCCCACCAGCCCCATAGTGGGTCCATACTGGTCCCACCAGCCCCATACCGGCCCCAGCATCCCCATACTGGGCCCATACTGGTCCTAGCATCCCCATACCAGCCTCATACTGCTCCCACCAGCCCCATAGCGGCCCCAGCATCCCCGCTAACAGCGCTCTCCTCCTGGCAGCGCCGGCGCCGTGGCGGCCGCCCCGGCAGTGCCATGCAGCCCTGATGGAGCCCAACGCCTTCCCGCAGCTGCAGCTCTGGTGCCCGCGGCCCTTCGGCACCTACAGCCAGAACAAGCCATGCGCCGGCCCCGGCAATGCCAAGAAACCCTTCAGCCCCTCCTGCCGCCACACCGAGAACACGCCGCCCCCCGACACCGGCACTGGAACTGGCACTGGCACCGGCACCGGCACCGCCCCGCCTGCCCCCGCGGCACCGCCGGCACCGCCAACACCGGCATCAGAGGAGGGCCGGGTGCTGCTGGACACGTGGTACGTCATCAAACCCGGTAACACCAAGGAGAAGGTGGCTTTCTTCGTGGCGCACCAATGCGGTGCCGGCGCCCGCGCCAGCACCATGAAGGTGAAGGGCAACTGGGGCAGCGGCAGCTCCAAAGCCAAGCGGCGCCGGCGCTGCCACGAGCCCGGCAAGGCCAAGGCGAGCGCGGCGAGCACCGGCGAGGAGGCGGCTGAGGCGGCCGAGCTGGTGTCGGTGGCGGAGATGGTGGCGCTGGTGGAGCAGCGCGCGGCGCTGGCGCTGCAGAGCTTCCCCCCGGTGTTGCTGGAGGCGCCGGGCGGCGACGCCAAAACCCCGAGCGCCACCGACTGCAGCCGCGTGGCCGAAGCCGTCGCCCACTTCGAGTCGCGGCACCGCGACGGCAACACCAGAGCCAACGGCTTGTGCCGGGCTGGCGCTGAATGCACTGCGGCGGCACCGGCGGCGCCCGGTGAGGTCCGCATCGCTTTCCGCATCGCCAGCGGCCGCGAGCCCCGCGCCGGCCCCGCCGCCGGCACCGACCCCGGTGGTGCTGCCCGGCCCGGGTGCGTGTTTGTGAGCGGCACCGGCGCCGCCGGCCGCGCCAAGGACAAGATCACGTGCGACTTGTACCGGTTGATCAGCCCCTCGCGGGATGTGCTCCCCACCAACGTGGAGCTGCTCCTTGCCGCCGCCGGGCCCAAGGGGGATGGCGGTGACGGCGATGCCGGTGCGGGCGATGGCGCGGTGGCGGCGGCGCCGTCGGCCAAAGCGGACGCAGGCGAGGGTTCGGCGGAGGCGGCGCCGGGGCGGGATTGCGCCGCCGGTTTCCATGTGGACGTGGTGGTGACCGGCGTCGTGGACCAGTGCGTGTTCTACGGCAAGGACAGCGCCAAGCAGGTGACGGAGGAGACGGTGCGGTTACCGGCGGCGCCTAAGGACGAACCAACCCCTCCACCACCACCGCCACCGGGGCAGCTTTTCCTCTTCCCTATCGCCGACGAAGCCGCAACGGCGCCGACGGCATCACCGGACGCGGATGCGGTGTCGTCGGATCCATCGCTGTGCCGCTTGTACCGCCACGTGTCCCACGACTTCCTGGAGATCCGCTTCAAGATCCAGCGCCTGCTGGAGCCGCGGCAGTACATGCTGCTGCTGCCGGAGCACGTCATGGTGAAGATCTTCAGCTACCTGCCCACCCAGGCGCTGGCCGCCCTCAAGTGCTCCTGCCACTACTTCAAGTCCCTCATCGAGACCTTCGGCGTCCGCGCCACCGACTCGCGTTGGACGCGGGACCCGCTCTACCGCGACGACCCCTGCAAGCAGTGCCGCAAGCGCTACGAGAAGGGGGACGTGTCGCTGTGCCGCTGGCACCCCAAGCCCTACCACCACGACCTGCCCTACGGCCGCTCCTATTGGATGTGCTGCCGCCGGCCCGACAAAGAGGCGCCGGGGTGCCGTGTGGGGCTGCACGATAACCATTGGGTGCATCCGGCGCCGCGGCGTGAGGATGGGAGGTGAAATGGGGGGGTAATGGGGGGCAATGGGGGGGGGGGTTGGGGTGATGGAGGAGGAGGAAAAGAAAATGAAAACCCAAAAAGAGCGATTTTGGAGTGGAAATGGGGTCGGGGGGGTCGGGGTGTGGTGCTGGCGCCATGGGGATGACCCCATGGAGGATGCTGGCCCCATGGCAATGACCTTATTGAGGATGCTGGCCCCATGGCAATGATCCTACAGAAGGTGCTGGAAGCATGGAGGCTGCTGGCCCCATGGTGATGACCCCATGGTGATGACCCCATGGTGGATGCTGGCCCCATGGTGATGACCCCATGGAGGGTGCTGACCCCGTGGTGGATGCTGGCCCCATGGCAATGACCTTATTGAGGATGCTGGCCCCATGGAAGGGGCTGGACCCATGGCAGTGACCCCATGGAGGATGCTGGCCCCATGGTGATGACCCCATGGAGGGTGCTCGCCCCATGGTGATGACCCCATGGTGGATGCTGGCCCCATGGTGATGACCCCATGGCGGATGCTGGCCCCATGGTGATGACCCCATGGTGCATGCTGGCCTCATGGTCATGGCCTCATGGAGGGGGCTGGCCCCATGGCAATAACCCTATTGAGGATGCTGGCCCCATGGTGATGATCCTACAGAAGATGCTGGCCCCATGGAAGGTGCTGGCCCCATTGTGCTGACCCCATGGAGGATGCTGGTCCCAACGTAATGGCCTCATTGTAATGGCTTCATGGAGGGTTCTGGCCCCATAGCGATGACATTAGGGAGGGCTCTGGCCCCATGGCAATGACCCTATGGAGGGTGCTGACCCCATAGCAGTGACCCTATGGAGGGTTCCGGCCCCATAGCAATGACCCTATGGAGGTTGCTGACCCCATAGCAGTGACCCTATGGAAGGTTATGGCCCCATAGCAATGACCCTATAGAGGGTGCTGGCCCCATAGCAGTGACCCTATGGAGGGTTCTGGCCCCATAGCAGTGACCCTATGGAGGGTGCTGGCCCCATAGCAGTGACCCTATGGAGGGTTCTGGCCCCATAGCAGTGACCCTATGGAGGGTGCTGGCCCCATAGCAATGACCCTATGGAGGGTTCTGGCCCCATAGCAATGACCCTACGGAGGATGCTGTCCCAATGGTAGTGACCCTATAGAGGGTTCTGGCCCCATAGCAGTGACCCTATGGAGGGTTCTGGCCCCATAGTAGTGACCCTATGGAGGGTGCTGGCCCCATGGCCGCTGCCATCATATCGGGGATACCCCCCTTCACCGTGACGTCACACGTTGCCCATGACGTCACACCGACGCTGCTCCGCCCACCCTCCGGACGCGCCGCTCGGGTACCACAAGGGGGCGTGTCCGAGCCCTCCCCATCGCCCAATCCGCGGCCGCCTCGTCGCCCGCTGGCCCCGCCCCTCGCCATGCGGAAGGGCTCCGCAGGGTCCCGGCGCCCGCGGGCCGCGGGTTCGGGGCCCGGCCCGGTCCCAATCCCGGTCCCGGTCCCGGTCGCGGTGGCCGCTGCCGGGCTCTGCCCCCGGCCCCGCCGCTGCCCGCGGCCGCTGCTGCCGCTGCTGGCGCTGGCGGCCGCCGCCGGGCTCCTCTACAGCGCCTGGCCCCGGGGGGAGCGGGAGCGCGACCCGGTGAGAACGGGGGGGGGGGTTGGAGGGCATCGGGACCCCACGGACCCCGACATCACTGAGACCCCCCCCGAGCCACAGAACCAGAGCCCCCCAATGGCACCCAGACCCCCCCGACCCCATTATAGGGGTACCCAGAGTCCCCCAATGGCACCCAGACTCCCCCAGACCCCATCATGGGGGTACCCTGACCCCCCAATGACCCCCAGAACCCCCCAGACCCCATCATGGGGGCACCCAGTACCCCCTAATGGCACCCAGACCCACCCGCACCCCATTATAGGGGTACCCTGACCCCCCAAGGGCCCCCTGACCCCCCCCGACCCCATTATAGGGGTACCCTGCCCCCCCCCAATGACCCCCCAGACCCCCGCCGACCCCATTATAGGGGTACCGTGACTCCCCCAATGACCCCCAGATCCCATCATAGGGGCACCCAGACCCCCCCCGCACCCATTATAGGGGTACCATTATAGGGGTACCCAAACCCCCCCCCCCATTTACCCCCGTTCCAGCTCCCCCCCGCCGCGGCCCCCCCCTCCTCGGAGCGATCCCTGCGGCAGCTCCTGGAGCGCTTGGATCCATCCCGGCTCCAGCGGCGCCTCCTGAGCCCCTTCCTGCGGGAGCGGGTGCCGGGGGGGCCGGGGAGCAGCGCCGTGCGCCAGGTAAGGCCCCTTCACCCCCATTGGTGCCCATTGACCCCCATTGATAGCCATTGATAGCCATTGACACCCATTGATACCCATTGATAACCATTGATCCCCATTGATCTCTATTGACCCCCATAGACCACCATTGATAGCCACTGATCCTCATTGATACCCATTGACCCCCATTGATAGCCATTGACATCCATTGACCACCGCTGACCCTCACTGATAACCACTGGTCCTCATTGATACCTATTGACAGCCATTGATCACCATTGACCCCCACTGATCACCATTGATAACCATTGATACCCATTGACACCCATTGATACCCATTGATCCCCATTGATCCCCATTGACCATCATTGATAATCGTTGATTCCCATTGATACCCATTGATCCCCATTGACCCTCATTGATAATTGTTGATTCCCATTGATACCCATTGATACCCATTGATCCCCATTGATCCCCATTGACCCCAGCTGATAAACATTGACCTCCATTGATCCTCATTGACCTCCATTGACCCCCATTGACCTCCATTGACCCCACTGACCCCCATTAACCCCCATTCCTCCCCATTAACCCCCATTGACCCCATTGCTCACCCCCCCCCCCAGCACATCACCGCCTGCCTGGAGGCGCTGGGCTGGCACGTGGAGCTCGACGCCTTCACCGCGGCCACGCCGCGGGGCCCGGTCCCCTTCACCAACGTGGTGGCCACGGCGGCCCCCGGTGCCGCGCGGCGCCTGGCCCTCGCCTGCCACTACGACACCAAGGTCCTGCCGGCGGCCGCCCCCTTCATCGGTGCCGTGGACTCGGCCGCCTCCTGCGCCGCCATCCTCGAGCTGGCGACGGCCCTCGAGCGGCCCCTGCGCCGCGCCAGGGAGGAGGTGGGAGCCGGGAGGGGGGCCTATGGGGGAGAATGGGGTTCCTATGGGGGATAATGGGGTCCCTATGGGGGATAATGGGGTCTCTATGGGTGATAATGGGGTTCCTATGGGGGATAATGGGGTTCCTATGGGGGATAATGGGGTTCCTATAGGTGAGAATGGGGTCTCTATGGGTGATAATGGGGTCCCTATGGGTGATAATGGGGTCCCTATGGGTGATAATGGGGTCCCTATGGGTGAGAATGGGGTCCCTATTGGTGATAATGGGGTGATATGGGTTAGAATGGGGTCCCTATGGGTCATAATGGGGTCCCTATGGGTAATAATGGAGTCCCTATGGGTGATAATGGGAACCCTATGGGTGACAATGGCGTCCCTATGGGCTGGAATGGGGTCCCTATGGGTGATAATGGGGTCCCTATGGGCTGGAATGGGGTGAAATGGGTTAGAATGGGGTCCCTATGGGTGACAATCCCATTATCCCATTATCCCCCATCCCGTTATCCCATTATCTCCCATTATTCCATTATCCCATTATCCCCCATCCCGTTATCCCATTACCCCATTACCCCCCACGCCGCTCCCGCCGTGCCGGCCCCCCAGGGCGCCGAGGCCACCCTGCAGCTCCTCTTCCTCGATGGGGAGGAAGCCTTCGAGGCCTGGAGCGCCTCCGATTCCCTGTACGGGGCCCGGCACCTGGCGGCGCGCATGGAGGCCACGCGGCACCGCGGCGGCCCCGGCACCCAGCTCAGCGCCATGGTGAGCCCGGGGGGCCCTGTGGGCACAGGGGGGTTCCTATGGGCACAGGGGGGCTCTATGGGCACAGGGGGGGCTCTATGGGCACAAGAGGGGACCCATGGCCATGCCAATGTCACCATGGCCATGGTGGTGTCCCCATACTGATGTCCCTGTGTTCTCATTGCTGTCCTCATTGATGCCCCCATTGATGTCCCCATTGATACCCCCATTGATACCTCCATTGATGTCCCCATCGATACCCCCATTGATGCCCCCATTGATGCCCCCATTGATACCCCCATTGATATCCCCATTGATGCTCCCATTGACATCCCCATTGATACCCCCATTGATGCCCCCACTGATATCCCCATCAATACCCCCATTGATGCCCCCATTGATGCCCCCATTGATGCCCCCATTGATGCCCCCATTGATGTCCCCATTGATGCCCCCATTGATACCCCCATTGATGTCCGCATTGATGCCTCCATTGATATCCCCATTGATGCCCGCACTGACATCCCCATTGATATCCCCATTGATGCCCCCATTGCTGCCCCCATTGATACCCCCATTGATGCCCCCACTGACACCCCCATTGCTGCCCCATTGCTGCCCCATTGCTGTCCCCAGAGCCTGCTGGTGCTGCTGGACCTGTTGGGCGCTCGGGACCCCGCCATCCACAGCCACTTCCCCAGCACCCACCACTGGTTCCTGCGCCTCGTCCACATCGGTGCGGACCCGGGGGGGGGAGGGGGGGTAGGACCCGGGGTGGGGGTGGGGATGCAGGGGGGGTCTCAGACCTCGTGTTCCCCCCCCCCCCAGAGCAGCGGCTGCGGCGCCTGGGGCTGCTCCACGCCACCCCCCAGGACCCCCCCTTCTTCCGCCTCAGCCCGGCCCCGGGGCCCGTGGAGGACGATCACATCCCCTTCCTGCAGAGAGGTGAGCCCGGGGACCACGGCCTGGAGCCCGCATCCCGCATCCCATAGCACATAGCCCATCCTATACCCTATATCCTATATCCTGCATCCCATAGCCCATAGCCCATACCCTATACCCTATATCCCACATCCCGCATCCTATAGCACATAGCCCATATCCTATACCCTATATCCCGCATCCCGCATCCCATAGCACATAGCCCATATCCTATACCCTATATCCCACATCCCGCATCCCATAGCACATAGCCCATATCCTATACCCTATATCCCACATCCCGCATCCCATAGCCCATAGCCCATATCCTATACCCTATATCCCATATCCCGCATCCCATAGCACATAGCCCATATCCTATACCCTATATCCCACATCCCGCATCCCATAGCCCATAGCCCGCATCCCATATCCTATATCCTACATCCCATATCCTGCATCCCACATCCCATAGCCCATAACCCATATCCTGCATCCCATATCCTATATCCCATACCCTATATCCTATATTCTATACCCCACATCCTCTATCTTATATCCTATATCCTATATCGTGTTTCGCATATCCCATATCCCACATCCCATATAGCCCATATACCCCATACCCCATATCCCATATACCCCATACCCCATATCCCATATCCCACACCCCATATAGCCCATATACCTCATACCCCATATCCCATATACCCCATACCCCATATCCCATATACCCCATACCCCATATCCCATATCCCACATCCCATATAGCCCATATACCTCATACCCCATATCCCATATACCCCATACCCCATATACCCCATATACCCCATACCCCATACACCCCATTATCCCATATATCCCATTATCCCATATACCCCATATACCCCATTATCCCATATAATCTATATACCCCGTACCCCATATACCCCATACACCCCATATACCCCGTTACCCCATTGCCGCAGGGGTGCCGGTGCTGCACCTGATCCCGCTGCCCTTCCCTCCGGCCTGGCACACACCGGAGGACACGGAGCGGAACCTGCACCCCCCGACCCTCATGGACCTCACCCGGATCCTGCTCGTCTTCATCACCGAATTCCTGCACCTCTGAGCCCCCCCCCCCGGGAGCCGCATCCGGATCCCCCCAAAAACCAGCGCCAAAACGCCCCAAATTCCAAAAAATTCCCGGTTTATTGCTCGTACCGCCCGGGGGGGGGGTGGGGGGAGGGGCAGGAAAGGGGTGGGGGAGGGGGGGGTAACCCCTTTGTGTGTGGCCCCCCCCCACTTTGAGTCAGTTCACCCCGGCACGGATCCGGGAATGCCGGGAGCGGGATCCGGTGACGCTGTCACCATGGGTAAGGCACCGGCGAAGTCAAATGTTGGGGGGGGGGGGGGCCCGGTGTCCGTCCCCACCGCCATGGGTGGGATCTGGTGGGATTCCGGTTGAGATCCGGTTGGGATGCGGCTGAGTCCCGGTTGGGTCCGGTTGGGATCTGGTTGGGATGCGGTTGAGTCCTGGGTGGGATCCGGCTGGGATGCGGCTGAGTCCCAGTTGGGTCCAGTTGGGATCCGGTTGGGATGCGGCTGAGTCCTGGTGGGGATCTGGTTGGGATGGGGCTGAGTCCTGGATGGGATCCAGTTGGGATCCGGTTGGGATGCGGCTGAGTCCCAGTTGGGTCCGGTTGGGATCTGGTTGGGATGCGGTTGAGTCCTGGGTGGGATCCGGCTGGGATGCGGCTGAGTCCCAGTTGGGTCCAGTTGGGATCCGGTTGGGATGCGGCTGAGTCCTGGTGGGGATCTGGTTGGGATGGGGCTGAGTCCTGGATGGGATCCAGTTGGGATCCGGTTGGGATGCGGCTGAGTCCTGGATGGGATCCAGTTGGGATCCGGTTGGGATGCGGCTGAGTCCTGGTGGGGATCTGGTTGGGATGGGGCTGAGTCCTGGATGGGATCCGGTTGGGATGCGGCTGAGTCCTGGATGGGGTCCGGCTGGGATCCAGTTGAGTCCCAATTGGGTTCCTGTTGAGCTCCGGTTGCCTTCCAGTTGGGATCCCGCTGTTTCACTTGGGATGCGGCTGAGCCCTGACTGGGATCCGGTTGAGTTCCTGGTTGAGATCCGGTGTGGATCCCATTGAGCTCCGCTTGGGATCCCATTGGCTTCAAGGCAGAGCCAGCAGCGTGGGGGTGCATGGAGCCCATGGTTGGGGGGGGCAGGGGGGGGTCCTGGTGTCCAGGTCCATCCCATCCCATCCCATCCCATCCCCATCCCCATCCCATCCCATCCCATCCCCATCCCCATCCCATCCCATCCCATCCCATCCCCATCCCCATCCCATCCCATCCCATCCCATCCCATTCCCCCCCGGCTCCATCATTCCCGGATGCTGGCGGAGTAGGAAAACTGCGGGAAGTGCGTGCGGTTCTCGCCCTCCGGGGAGCCCAGGGCATCGTCTGCAGGGAACAGGGAGGGGGTCAGGGGGGGGAACCCCCAAACACCCCCATGGGGGTCCCAGCACCCCCAAACCCCCCCAATGGTGCCCAATGGGGGGTCCCAGCACTCCCCAAACACCCCCATGGGGGTCCCTGCACACCCAAACTGCCCCAATGGTGCCCAATGGGGGGTCCCAGCACCCCCCAAACACCCCCATGGGGGTCCCAGCACCCCCAACCCCCCCCAATGGTGTGCAATGGGGGGGTCCCAGCACCCCCTAAACACCCCCATGGGGTCCCTGCACCCCATAACCCCAACAATGGTGCCCAATGGGAGATCCCAGCATCCCTAAACCCACCCCATGGTGCCCAATGGAAGCTCCCAGCCGCTTCAACCCCCCCCCATGGTGCCCAATGGGAGATCCCAGCATCCCTGAAACCCCCCCCATGGTGCCCAATGGAAGCGCCCAGCATCCCTAACCACCCCCATGGTGCCCAATGGGAGCTCCCACCCCCCCAAACCCCCCCCCATGGTGCCCAATGGGAGGTTCCACCCCCCCATGGTTCCCAATGGGGGTCCCCATCCCCTCACAGCGGTCGGGGGGGGTGATGGTGATGGACTGCGCCGTGAACTCGTCATCGAAGTAGCGGGTGTCCACCTCGGAGGTCACCTGGGGCTTGAAGGGGGGCACCAGCTGCGGGGGGGGCACCCATGAGTGCATGGGGGGGGCCCCCTTTGGGTGCTATGGGGGGGATTTGGGTCCCTTTGGGTGTTATGGGGTCCCTTTGGGTGCTATGGGGGGGGTTTGAGTCCCTTTGGGTGCTATGGGGGGGATTGAGTCCCTTTGGGTGCTATGGGGGGGTTGAGTCTTTTTGGGTGCTATGGGGGTGTTTGGGTCCCTTTGGGTGCTATGGGGTCCCTTTGGGTGCTATGGGGTGGTTTGGGGTCCCTTTGGGTCCTATGGGGTGGTTGAGTCCCTTTGGGTGCTATGGGGGGGGTTGAGTCCCTTTGGGTGCTATGGGGGGGGTTGAGTCCCTTTGGGTGATAGGGGGGGGTTTGGGTCCGTTTGTGTGCTATGGGGGGGGGGGGTTGAGTCCATTTGGGTGCTATGGGGGGGTTTGGGTCCCTTTGGGTGCTATGGGGGGGTTGAGTCCATTTGGGTGCTATGGGGTGGGTGGGGTCCCTTTGGGTGCTATGGGGGGGGTTGAGTCACTTTGGGTGCTATGGGGGGGTTGGGGTCCCTTTGGGTGCTATGGGGGGGGTTTGGGTCCTTTTGGGTGCTATGGGGGGGACTGAGTCCCTTTGGGTGCTATGGGGGGGGGGTTTGGTGTCCCTGTGGGTGCTGTGGGGGGGTCAGGGGGCCCCCCGGGGCCTTCACCTTCCTCTGCACCACGTCCTGCCAGTTGATGGGGGCGAAGAAGCGATGCTCCATCACCTCCTGCGCATCCCTGGGGCCCCCCCCAAGCCTGCCGGGAACAGGACCGGGATCAGGATTGGGACCGGGATCAGGATCAGGATTGGGACCGGGATCAGGACCAGGATCAGGATTGGGACTGGGATTAGGATTGGGATCGGGATCAGGACCAGGATCAGGATCAGGATTGGGATCGGGATCAGAATCAGGATTGGGATTGGGATCAGATCCAGCATCAGAATCAGGATCTGGAATGGAATTTGGGACTAGGACCAGGATTAGGATCAGGATCAGGATTGGGACCAGGCTCAGGACAAGAACTGGAATCAGGATCAAACCCAGGACCAGGATAAGGACTGGGATCAGGATCAGGATCAGATCCAGGACTGGGACCAGGACCAGGCTCAGGACCAGGTTCAAGACCAGGACCAGGATTGGGACTGGGATCGGGACCAGGATCAGATCCAGGACCAGGATCAGAATCAAGACCAGGACCAAGCTCAGGGCTGGGATCAGGCCCAGGATCAGATCCAGCATCAGGACCAGGACCAGACCCAGGATCAGATCCAGGACCGGGATCAGGACTGGGATCAGACCCAGGCCCAGACCCAGGCTCAAGCCCAATCCCCCCCATCCCCACCTCACCTCTGCTTGGGGTCCTTCTTGAGCAGCCCGGCCAGCAGGGCCCTGGCGTCGGGCGCGAGGCTGCGGGGGAACCGGATCTCCTCGAGCAGGATGAGCTCAAAGAGGCGCTCGTGGTCCTGGTTGTAGAAGGGCAGGCGGCCGCAGAGCATCTCGTACATCACCACCCCCAGTCCCCACCAGTCCACGGCGCGGCCGTAGTCATTGTCCTCCAGCACCTGCGGGGTTATGGGGATGGGTACGGGCAGGGATGCGCTGCTATGGGGGTGTTGCTATGGATACGGGCAGGGATGCGCTGCTATGGGGGTGTTGCCATGGATACGGGCTATGGGGGTGCTATCAGGATGGGTACGGGCAGGGATGCGCTCGCTATGGGGGTGTTGCTATGGATACGGGATATGGGGGTGTTATCGGGATGGATACAGGCAGGGATGCGCTCGCTATGGGGGTGTTGCTATGGATACGGGCTATGGGGGTGTTATCGGGATGGATACAGGCAGGGATGCGCTCGCTATGGGGGTGTTGCTATGGATACGGGCTATGGGGGTGTTATCGGGATGGATATGGGCAGGGATGCGCTCGCTATGGGGGTGTTGCTATGGATACGGGCTATGGGGGTGTTGCTATGGATACGGGCAGGGATGCGCTGCTATGGGGGTGTTGCTATGGATACGGGCAGGGATGTGCTCGCTATGGGGGTGTTGCTATGGATACGGGCAGGGATGCGCTCGCTATGGGGGTGTTGCTATGGATACGGGCTATGGGGGTGTTATCGGGATGGATACAGGCAGGGATGCGGTCGCTATGGGGTGCTGCTATGGATACGGGCTATGGGGGTGTTATTGCGATGGATACAGGCAGGGATGTGCTCGCTATGGGGGTGTTGCTATGGATACGGGCTATGGGGGTGTTATCGGGATGGATACGGGCAGGGATGCGCTCGCTATGGGGGTGTTATCGGGATGGATACAGGCAGGGATGCGCTCGCTATGGGATGGATGGAGGCAGGGATACCCTCACTATGGGGATGTTATCACTATGGATACAGGCAAGGATACCCTTGCTATGGGGATGTTATCGCTATGGATACGGGCAGGGATGCTCTCGCTATGGGATGGATGGAGGCAGGGATACCCTCACTATGGGGATGTTATCGCTATGGATACAGGCAGGGATGCTCTCGCTATGGGATGGATGGAGGCAGGGATACCCTCACTATGGGGATGTTATCACTATGGATACAGGCAGGGATACCCTTGCTATGGGGATGTTATCACTATGGATACAGGCAGGGATACCCTTGCTATGGGGATGTGATCACTATGGATACGGGCAGGGATGCTCTCGCTATGGGATGGATACTGGCACGGATACCTCCGGCGCCAGGTACTCGGGGGTGCCACAAAAGGTCTTCATGGTGGCACCATCACTGATGCCCTCCTTGCAGAGGCCGAAGTCGGTGATCTTGATGTGCCCATCCTTGTCCAGCATCAGGTTTTCCAGCTGGGAAAGAGGGAAAAGGGATGGAGAGGAAGGATCCAAACCCCACTGACCAAGGCTGAGGGAGGGAAGCAGGAGCGGGATCAGGATTGGGATTGGGATTGGGACTCAGATAGGGACTGGGTTCAGGATCGGGACCAGGATCAGGATCAGGACTGAGAGAGGGACCAGGATCAGGATTGGGATCAGGATCGGGACTGGGACTGAGACAGGGACTAGGATCAGGGTCGGGACCAGGATCAGGATCAGGACCAGGGTAAGGAACAGGCCCAGTACCAGGACTGGGATCAGGATCAGGACCAGAATCAGGATTGGGACCAGGACCAGGACTGGGAAAGGGACTGGAATCAGGATCAGGATCAAGACCAGGACCAGGACTGGGATCGGGATCAGACCCAGTACCAGGATCAGGATCAGATCCAGGACCGGGATCAGGATTGGGATCGGGATTGGACCCAGTACCAGGCTCAGGATCAGACCCAGGACTGGGATCAGATCCAGTACCAGGATCAGGATCAGATCCAGGACCAGGATCAGGATCAGATCCAGGACCAGGATCAGGACTGGGATCGGGATCGGACCCAGTACCAGGATCAGGATCAGATCCAGGACCGGGATCAGACCCAGTACCAGGATCAGGATTGGGATCGGACCCAGTACCAGGCTCAGGATCAGATCCAGGACCGGGATCAGACCCAGTACCAGGATCAGGATTGGGATCGGACCCAGTACCAGGCTCAGGATCAGATCCAGGACCGGGATCGGACCCAGTACCAGTTTACCTTGATATCCCGGTACACCACATCCCGGGAATGGAGGTATTCCAAGGCAGACACGATCTCGGCACCATAGAAGCGGGCGCGATCCTCGGTGAAGACGCGTTCCCTCGAGAGGTGGAAAAAGAGCTGGGAAAGAGCAGGGGAAACGGGAGAACGGGGGTGAATCCTTTAAAACACCCCCAAATCCTTGTGGGTAACGGGGAACGCTCCTGAAGGGATCCAGGGATAAAGCGGGATCCATCGGGATAAAGGGGGGAGCTCCCACCTCGCCCCCGTTGGCGTATTCCATGACGAAGCAGAGGCGGTCGTTGGTCTGGAACGCGTATTTCAGGGCCTGGAAAAGGGGGATTTTAGGGAAGATCCATAGGGATGGAGGGGTCCGGGGTGATGGGGGGGTGCTTACGGTGAGGAAGGGGTGCCGGGTGTTCTGCAGCACCCGGCTCTCGGTCACGGTGTGAGCCACTTCATCCTGGGAAAGGGGTGCAGTCAGTGATGGGATCCATAGGGAATGCCGCGGTGATCCTGGTGTGGATCCATGCGGATCCCGGCACGCACCTTGGCGATGATGACCTCCTTCCGCAGGATCTTCATGGCGTAATAGCGCCCGGTGGCCTTTTCCCGCACCAGGATCACCTTCCCAAAGGTCCCTTTCCCCAAGAGCTTCAGGTAATCGAAGTCGTTCATGGTCTGGGAATGGGAAAAGCAGGAATTCCATGGATCCGCAATGGGAACCGCATCCAACAAGGCTTTATCCCATGGAGCCATCCCCGTTCCCACTCACAGCCTTAGCACGGGATTTGCCCATGGCCACCTCCATCTCCTCAGCACCGGGGCCATCCATGGATCCGCACTTGTATTCCATGGGATCCACCTCCGGCTCCTGCTGCTTGAGGCTGTTGGCGACCGTCTGGATGGCGCGCATCCATTCCTCCCTATGGGATGGGAACAGGGATGCGATGAGGGGGATGGTGGCTCCCCCCACCCCATAACGGCCCCATTCCCATGGGAACGCGGCATTCCCGCACCGCTCCTCCGGGGTATCCACATGGAAGGTCCTCTCGATGACCGTTGTCCATTGCAAGCAGCGGATGACGAAGGTGTTGGGGCGCGGGCGCTCCGTCTTCATCAGCTGGCACTCTGCGACCCAAGCAGGATGCTTTGGGAGCAAGGATCCGCAGCCCAGGGCCCTGCATTCCCTGCTCCTTGTGCATCCCATGGACCCGAGAGCAACGGCCCCATAGAGCGGCCCTTGGGACCCCAAAGATGCTCCCAAACCTCGTGGACCGCCAAGGCCACATCCCCCATAGCCCAACATCCCCACTATGGGTACCAAGGATGCTCCAATGATCTCATGGACCACCAAGGCCACATCCCCCATAGCCCAGCATCCCTCCTATGGGTACCAAGGATGCTCCAATGACCCCATGGACCACCAAGGCCACATCCCCCATAGCCCAGCATCCCTCCTATGGGTACCAAGGATGCTCCTTGGGGTATGGACCACCAAGGCCACATCCCCCGTAGCCCAGCATCCCCACTATGGGTACCAAGGATGCTCCAATGACCCCATGGACCACCAAGGCCACATCCCCCATAGCCCAGCATCCCCACTATGGGTACCAAGGATGCTCCCAAACCTCATGGACCACCAAGGCCACATCCCCCATAGCCCAGCATCCCCACTATGGGTACCAAGGATGCTCCAATGACCCTATGGACCACCAAGGGCACATCCCCCATAGCCCAACATCCCCACTACGGGTACCACATGGACCACCAAGGCCACATCCCCCATAGCCCAGCATCCCTCCTATGGGACCAAGGATGCTCCAAACCCATGGACCACCAAGGCCACATCCCCATAGCCAGCATCCCCTATGGGTACCAAGGAGCTCCAACCTATGGACCACCAAGGCACATCCCCATAGCCACATCCCCACTAGGGTACCAAGGATGCTCCAATGACTATGGACCACCAAGGCACATCCCCCATAGAGGATGCTCCAATGATCTCATGGACCACCAAGGCCACATCCCCCATAGCCCAATGCCCCCCCCAGCCCCATTGCCCCCCCTTTACCGGCCACAGAGAAGTTATTGAGGGGGGGCAGCGCCTGCTCCGGGCTCTCCGGCCGCTCCTTGTAGCCAATGAAGGAGCCGTCGCTCTTGAGCAGGAAGTAGCGGGGCCGCCATGTTTTGATGTATTCCCCTGGGAATTTGGGATGCGGGAGTTTGGGATGCGGGAAGCAGGGATGGGAAGCACAGACCCCATTGGTGCTGGGCTCACCTCGCTTGTGGAGCCACCCCTCCTTCACCACCAGCACCTCGGTCATGGCGGCGCCGGGGCTAAGGCTGGCCAGGACCTGTGGATGGGAATGGGATGGGAATGGGATGGGAATGGGAAGGGAATGAGATGGGAATGGGATGGGAATGGAAATGGGATGGGAATGAAATGGGATGGGAATAAAATGGGAATGGGATAGGAATAGGATGAGAATGGGATGGAAATGGGATGGGAATAGGATGGGAATGGGATGGGAATGGGATGAGAACGGGATGGGAATGGGATGGGAATGGGATGGGAATGGGAAGAGAATGAGATGGGAATGGGATGGTAATGGAAATGGGATGGGAATGAAATGGGATGGGAATAAAATGGGAATGGGATAGGAATAGGATGAGAATGGGATGGAAATGGGATGGGAATAGGATGGGAATGGGATGGGAATGGGATGAGAACGGGATGGGAATGGGATGGGAATGGGATAAAGGGGGTTCAGCCATTCCCATCCTTTGGGATATGGACCCCAAACATCCCAACACTGGGACGGGATCAGAGAGGGGGGATCCCGCTGCTCCCAGCCCTTGGGATACGGATCCCCCACTGAGGGACACCAACACCCCCCAGCAATAGGGGGGCAGAAAGCACCCCCCAAACCCCTTCAGTGCAGCTCCATGGGGCCCCCAGAGCCTGCATGGACCCTATGGAACCCCCCCAAGATCAGCATTAGGCCCTATAGAACCCCCCAGACCTGCATGGGGCCCTATAGAGCCCCCCATAGCTCCCCCACATCGCAGCGGGCGAGTCCATTGCGCGGCCATGGTGGGGGGGGGCAGAGAGCGCCCCCCCCCCCGGGTGGTGCAGTCCCCGCAGTGGCCGCTGGGGGCGGGCGAGTCCATGGCGGCGGAGGTGGGGGGGGGGGTGTCCTCACCTGTCATGGACGCCGCCGGCTCCCGCCGCTCATCCCGGTCCGAGCCCGGTCCAACGGCGGAAGCGGAAGCAGCGGAAGCGGAAACGGAAGCGGGCGGTGGAGGCGGGACACGGAACCGGAGGGAACGGAAGCACCCGGGGATGGGAAGACCCCGCTCGGCTCCAAGCGGCCGCAATACGCATGCGCCGATAGAGGGGGCGCATGCGCGGCGAGCCAAGCCCCGCCCCTCGGCGCGCAGGCGCGGTGCTCAGGCACAGCCTCCTTTGGAGATTTGCATCTGATTTGCATAAACAGAGCCATTTCCACACTTTATTGCCAAAAAAGGTCAAAAATGGGGAGGGGGGAAGCCCCAAAGCACTCGGGTCACACACCCCAACCACCCAAAAAGGGAAGGAAAACGCCCCCAAATTGGGGAGGAATTGGGCAAAAGCAAGAAAACTGGGGAATTTGGGTGGGAAAGTGAGGAAATCCGGGAATTTGGGTATGAAAAACGGAGGGATTGGTGAATTTTGGCGTTAAAACCGAGGGAATTGATGAAATTCACATTAAAAACAACGGGACTGGTGATTTTTTGTGATAACAAGGAAATTGTGAGATTTTGTGCCAAAATGGTGAAATTTTTGCATAAGAAATGAAGGAACTGGTGAATTTTCATATTAAAATGAAGAAATTTGTAGATTTTCATATTAATAGTGAATTAGTGAATTTTTGTATTAAAAATGAATTGGTGAATTTTCATGTTAAAAATGGAAAAACTGGTAAATTTCCATATTAAAACTGAAATTGGCATTTTTTTGTATCAAAAATGAATAAATTGGTGAGTTTTTGCATTAAAAATGAAAGGACTGGTGAGTTTCCATGTGAAAATTGAAGAAATTGGCAAATTTTCCTATTTAAAATGAAATAATTGGTGAATTCTTGTATTAAAGAAAGGGGTTTTGTTAAAAACAAGGGGATTGGTAAATTTACCCATGAAAAATGAAGGACTTTGTGAATTTCATATTAAAACCAAACGAATTGGTGAATTTTCATCTAAAAAACTACGGAATTGGTGATTTTTTGCATTAATCCCAAAGAACTGGTGAATTTTCCCATCAAAAAAAAGAAGGAATTTATGAATTTCATATGAAAACCAAACAAATTGATTAAATTTCATCTAAAAAATGACAGAATTGGTGAATTTTTTGCATTAAACCCAAGGAACTGGTGAATTCTCCCATGAAAAATGAAGGAATCGCTGTTTTTTTTGATAGCAATACAAAGAAATCCCATTTTTCCCTAGGAAACCCTGGGAATTGGCCGATTTCTCATCCCAAACTTCCCAGCTTTGTTTTTTGGGGAGAAAAAAGGCGTTTTTGGGGAGGGTTGCAGCAGAACCAAAGAAACTCAGGGAATTTGGGGGGAAACAGAATTGGGGACAAATAAATAAATGGAGGAAAAGCGCCCGGATTTGGGGGGAAAAGGAGGAATTCCAGGGAAAGGCCCCGTCCGGTGGAGCCGGTGGGAATTAAGGCAGTTTTTTGGGGGGTTTTGCTGGTTTTTGAGGCCTTTCCCCCCCAAAAATGGTTCTTTTTTAAGGTTTTGGGGTGTTTTTTGGGAATGCCGCTCCGAACTCCATCCCGATGGATTCCATCCCCCAGCGGATCCATGCATCCAATGAGAAAGCAAGTGGCAAGGGAAGGGAAAACTAAGGCAACCCAAGGCAAATCCCGGGCTGGGCGCGGAGGTTTTGGGGTGAGAATTCCTCAAAATGGGAAAAGAACGGGAATAACAGGGGGGAACCCAAGGGTTGAGCAACAGGGAGAGGATGGGGAGCGAGGATTTGGCTGGATCCGCCCGGGATTTGGGCAGGGAATCCCTTGGGAAGGGTTTTCCTCCTCCCTCTTCCCTCCGGTTTTCCTATGGGATTAGCGTTTCCCTATGGGATCAAGCCTTTCCCTATGGGATCAAGCCTTTCCCTATGGGATCAAGCATTTCCCTATGGGATCAAGCCTTTCCCTATAGGATTAAGCCTTTCCCTATGGGATCAAGCCTTTCCCTACGGGATCAAGCATTTCCCTATAGGATTAAGCCTTTCCCTATGGGATCAAGCCTTTCCCTATGGGATCAAGCCTTTCCCTATGGGATTAAGCCGTTCCCTATGGTATCAAGCCTTTCCCTATGGGATCAAGCCTTTCCCTATGGGATCAAGCCTTTCCCTATGGGATCAAGCCTTTCCCTATGGGATCAAGCCTTTCCCTATGGGATCAAGCCTTTCCCTATGGGATCAAGCCTTTCCCTATGAGGTCAAGCCTTTCCCTATGGAATCAAGCCTCTCCCTATAGGATCAAACCTTTCCCTATGGGATCAAGCCATTCCCTATGGGATTAAGCCTTTCCCTGCAGAAAACCCCTCCTCCATAGGCCTCAACCCTTTCCCCTTGGGGTTGGTCGATCCCATGGGATGGCGCCCCCCGGATCCCTATGGATCTCAATCCGATTTCTTTCCCAAGCGCTGGAAGACGCTGACGGAGCCGGCGTTGTCCATCCTGGCCTCGCTGGAGCTGCTCACCTTCCCGCAGCCCCAAGTCCTCCGGATCATCACCCGGCATTCCCGCTTGGATTTATCCCTATCACCGCCGCTGCTGCTGCTCACTCCATCCTCACCCTCGCGCCCTTCTCCCATTGGAGCCATCCCGGCAGCATTCCGAAGGCTGGGAATGGGCTTCGCCTCCAAGCTGCTGGCTTTGGCCTTCACCGGTATTCCCGGATCCGGGATTTCCTTCCGGGAAGCGTTGGGTTTCTTCAGGACCCCGGCGTAGGGAAGCGCGGAGCCGTCGTCATCATCATCGTTCTCCATGGATTCATCCCGTAGGGAATCTCCCAAGCGGCTGAAGACGCCGGTGGGCTGAGGGTGAAAGGATGCAGGCCCATCAGCATCCGCATCCCTGCTCCATCGGCATTCCCAATGGGATGCAGGAGGGAATGGGGCTGAGCTCCCAGGAATTCCTGGGTTGCTGGGGGGGGTTCGGCAGCTTCCAGATCCCTGGAACTCCTCTGGGATCCCCATAGAATTCCAAGCAGGAATTCCCTCTGTATCCCCCCCATCTCCTCTCACCTTCCCTCCTGCAGCTGTATCCCCCCTCGCCTCGGCTCCCAAGCGGTCAAACACGGACGTCCTGGGCAGCCCTGCGGGATGGAGCGGGATAAGGCGGGATTTGGGATGGATGGGGATGAATTGGGAATACCGGGATGGGAATTCCCTGCCGGCACCTTTGGCTGCTTGCTGCTGTGCCAGGATTTTCCTTGTCCTCGGGGTGGTGCCCTTGGGCATGGTGATGATGTACTTCCCTTCCATCTCGGCCGTCACCCGGCGCCGCTTCACCGGGATCGAGGGAATTCCGGCAGCGGCATTCCCTAAACCTGGCGGGATGCAGGGAAAACAAGGAGTTTAATGGGAAATGGGGTGGGAAAAGCGCTTCCCAAGTGATGGAGGAGGAGTTTAATGGGAAATGGGGTGGGAAAAGCGCTTCCCAAGTGATGGAGGAGGAGTTTAATGGGAAATGGGGTGGGAAAAGCGCTTCCCAAGTGATGGAGGAGGAGTTTAATGGGGAATGGGACGGGAAAAGCGCTTCCCAAGTGATGGAGGAGGAGTTTAATGGGTGGGGTGGGGGTTGTGTGGGGGGGTTTGAATGGGGTGGGAAAAGCGCTTCCCAAGTGATGGAGGAGGAGTTTAATGGGAAATGGGATGGGAAAAGCGCTTCCCAGCACCATTCCCAATGGAATCAGGCCCCTTCCCTACCTGCCTTCGCTGCCACCGGCTGGTTGGGAACAGTGATGGAGATCTTGGATCCATGGGGCTGGAGCGGGGCAGCGGGAAGCGGATCCCGGCTCAGGCTGTTGGCAATCATCCGGCTGGCGGCTGCATGGGGGGGGATGGAGGATTCCCATGGGATAACGGGATCCGATCCCTTGGGATGGGCCAAATCCCAGCAGGAATCCCTGCGGAGACGGGCTTGGGGGGGTGGGTAAGGAGGGAAGAGGGGAAGTGTCCCTGCCCCTTGCTTGGACCCAGGTGGGCATTGAGGTCCATCCCATCCCATCCCATCCCATCCCATTCCATGCTTCCATGGGCAGTATCCCTGCAGATCCTGGCTCACCACTGTTGGCGTTGCGGCGCAGCTCCGCTTGGACCGGGGGCGAGCTGGGAAGGAGCAATTCCGTGGCTGCTTTGCACATCTCCTGAGGGAAGAAAGCCATGGAAAACCATGGAAAACCAAAGGAAAACCATGGAAAACCATGGAAAATCAAAGGAAAACCATGGGAAACCAAAGGAAGCCTATAAAAAAGCAAATGGAACCCAAGGAAAACCAAAGGAAACCCAAGGAAAACCCAAGGAAACCCCTGGAAAACCCAAGGAAACCCAACAAAACCCAAGGAAACCCAACAAGACCCATGGAAAACCCAAGGAAAACCCAAGGAAACCCCTGGAAAACCAACGGAAACCCATGAAAAACAAAAGGAAAACTCAAGGAAAACCAAAGGAAACCCATGGAAAACCCAAGGAAACCCCTGGAAAACCCCAGCTACCCATGGGAAGCTCCCATTCCCATTCCCATTCCCATTCCCATTCCCATTCCCATACCTGCCTATAGACCACCTTGGCGTGCTTGAGGATGGCGATGACGTCGCCGACCACGGTGATGCCCAGCTCGTTCATGAGCTCCTTGGTGAGATCCAGGAGCATGTTCTTCCGGATCCTGCCCTCGGGAATACCGCAGGGGGGGCCCCATGGATCCCGGCTCCATCCCTATGGATCCTTCCATTGGGATGCATGGAAAAGATGGGAATGGGGGGGGTACCTGTTATCCACAAACATGACGGCGTAGCTGACGGCGGGGCCCGGAGGGATCCCGGCTTCCTTGAAGAACTGGATCCACTCGGATGTGGCTGCAGCGGGATAACGGGGATCCAATGGGATGGGGGTCAATGGGAATGGGGGGGGATGGGGAGCATGGGGGGAAGGGGGGGGAGGGGCTCACCCATCGTCATGGACACCATGGTGGGGCCGCGGCATCAGGTGGCAGCGCCGGGAGCGGCCTGGAGGGGGGATAGGAGGGCGGCCCCATAGAGAACCCCACCCCTGCCCCATAGAGAACCCCCCTGCCCCATAGAGAACCCCCCCTGCCCCATAGAGACCCTCTGCCACACAGAGATGCCCTCCCCGCCCCATAGAGACCCCTCTGCCCCATAGAGACCCCTCTGTCCCACAGAGACCCCCCCCTGCCCCATAGACTCCTCCAGCCCCAAAGAGACCCCTCCAGCCCCATGGAGACCCCCATGCCCCATAGAGCCCACCCTGCACCATAGAAACCCTCCAGCCTCATAAAGACCCCCCCTGCCCCATAGAGACCCCTCCAGTCCCACAGAGACCCTCCAGCCCCATAAGAGATCCCCCTGCCTCATAGAGATGATCCTGCCCCATAGAGACTCCTCTGGCCCCAAACAGGCCCCTCCAGCCCCACAGAGACGCTCCTGCCCCATAGAGATGACCCTGTCCCATAGAGATTCATCCTGCCCCACAGACACCCCTCCCGCCCCACAGGCCCCCCTTATCCCCTCCTCCTGTCCCATAGACCCCCCTTATCGCCTTCTCCCGCCCCATAGACCCCCCTCCTGCCCCATAGGGCTCCCTTACCCCCTCCTCCCGCCCCATAGCCCCCCCATTGCCCCCCAATTGCCCCCATTGCCGCCCCTCACCGCTCCGCTCCCGCCGCGCCCCATCCCGCCGCCGCTGCGCCGGGCCCCACCGGAAGCCCCTGTCACGGAGCGCCGGAAGTGACGCCCTCGGCGGACCACCCGCCCCAGCCCGTCGCTCTCCCGTCTCGTTGGTCGCAGGTAGGGGGACGCTCTAGGCCGCGGCGGCGCTGGAGGGACAACGGGAGGGGCGACCATAGAGAGCGGCGGGGGCGAGGGCGCCCCCAAGCGGACGGAGCTGGGAGCCGCCGCCGGGGCCTCCGGTACCGGGTCCTGACCCTAAAATAGGCCCTAAAAGGGTCCCTAAACCCAAAACTGCCCCCCAAATGGGTTTTTTTACCTCAAAGCTGGCTCTAAACCTGACCCTGACCTAAACACAGAACTAAAATAGCCCCTAAACCAAAATGGGCCCTGAAATGGGGCTAAATGGGGGAAAATGGGGTTACATAGGGGTAAATGGGGGTAAAAGGGAGTAAATGGGGCTGAATGGGCCTGAATGGGGTTAAATGGACCTAAATGGGATTAAATGGGGTTAAATGGGGCTGAATGGGGGTAAATGGGGTTAAATGGGGCTGAATGGGGCTAAATGGGGTTACATGGGGGTAAAAAGGGTAAGTGGGGCTAAATGGGGCTGAATGGGCCTAAACGGGGCTAAATGGGGTTAAACGGGGATAAGTGGGGCTAAAGGGGGTTAAATGGGCTTAAATGGGGTAAATGGGGTTAAATGGGGGTAAATGGGGCTGAATGGGCCTAAATGGGGCTGAATTGGGCTAAATGGGGTTAAATGGAGCTGAATGGGGGTAAATGGGGCTGAATGGGGCTAAATGGGGCTGAATGGGGTTAAATGGGGCTAAATGGGACTGAATGGGGTTAAATGGGGCTAAATGGTACTAAATGGTCCTCAATGGTCCTAAATGGTCCTAAATGGCACTAAATGGGCCTAAATGGGGTTAAATGGGGCTGAATGGCCGTGACCCCTTTTCCCAATCCCTTTTCCCAGTCCCTGGAACCCTCCGGCTGCCTTGGGAAGGATCCAGATGCGGATCCGGTTGTTCCAGTTCCACCTCAGCACTGGGATGCGGCCCCACAGCTCCTACAAGCAGGTACAGGCCCTATGGGGGGGGGGCCCCATCTCCACCCTGCTTACACTTGGGGGGGGGGGGGGCACCGTTCCCTATGGATCCCATTGGGATTTGGGATCCATTCCCTGCCTCCCCTCCCAGCTGCAGCCGCTGCCCCTTGGAGTCAATGGGATTCCTCACTTCTGGAACGCCGCCCCCCCCCTGCCCGCCCAGCGCTGCTGGGGTAGGGGGGGCCTTGCTCTACTCCTTGCCCTCTTCCTCCTCCTCCTCCTCCTCCTCATCCTCATCCTGCTCCGGATCGGACCCCAGTGGAGCCACGGCACCGGCGGTGATGGCAGAGCCTGCAGAGCCTCGTGCCGGTGAGAGGGGATGGGGGGGGCAGGACCCCATTGGGGCCATCCCATTGGGGCCACCATATTGCCCCCATCCCATTATCCCCCTCCCATTGCCCCCATCCCATTGCCCCCCTTCCATTGCCCCATCCCATTGGGGCCATCCCATTGCCCCCATCCCATTGCCCCCATCCCATTGCCCCCCTCCCATTGCCCCCATCCCATTGCCCCCATCCCATTGGTACCATCCCATTACCCCTACCCCATTGCCCCATCCCATTGCCCCCATCCCATTGCCCCTCCCATTGCCCCCCTCCCATTGTCACCATCCCATCACCCCCCTCCCATAGCCCCCATCCCATTGCCCCCATCCCATTACCCCCATCCCATTACCCCCATCCCATAGCCCCCATCCCATTACCCCACCCCATCACCCCCCTCCCATTGATCTCCCCCCATTACCCCACCCCATCACCCCCCTCCCCATCCCCAGCATCACCCTTGTGGAGAGCATCCCAGAGGGGCTGAGCTTCGGCGCCGGCTCCCCCCGGAACCCCTCCACCTTTGCCACCTGGAAGCAGCTCCTGGGCTCCGTCCGGCACAGCCTGGACATCGCCTCCTTCTACTGGACCATGACCAACGCCGACACCGGCACTGCCGAGCCCTCGGCCGCCCAGGTCCCGTTCCTGCTCCTTGCTCCATTCCCAAGGGGTTCCCCCCCTTTTCCTGCCCTTTTCCATGCCCAAACCCCCCCTCTTCGCCGGTGCAGGGGGAGCAGATCCTGCAGGAGCTGCTCCGGTTACCGGAGCGCGGCGTCGCCGTCCGCGTCGCCGTCAGCCGCCCATCGGCAAAGGCCCCGCTCGATGATCTCCTGGCGCTGGAGCGGAGCGGTGAGGGATGGGAACACCCCAAAACCGGGGGTTCTGACCCAAAACTGGGGGGTTCTGACCCAAAACTGGGGGGTTCTGCCCCAAAACTGGGGGGTTCTGCCCCAAAACCGGGGAGTTCTGCCCCAAAACTGAGTTGTTCTGCCCCAAAACCACAGGTTCTGCCCCCATACCATGCTTTCTGCCCCAAACCCATAGTTTCTACCCCCAAACCATGATTTCTGCCCCAAAACCACTGTTTCTGCCTCAAAACCATGCTTTCTACCCCAAAAACACTGTTTCTACCCCAAACCCACACTTTCTACCTGAAAACCACTGTTTCTACCCCAAAACCACTGTTTCTACCCCAAAACCACTGGTTCTACCCCAAAACCACACTTTCTACCCCAAACCCCTCTGTTCTACCCCAAACCCCTGCCTCCCGCCCCCCCATAGGCGCCGCGGTGCGCACCGTGGACCTGCCGCGCCTGACGGGGGGGGTTCTGCACACCAAGTTCTGGCTGCTCGACGGCGCCCACCTCTACGTGGGCAGCGCCAACATGGACTGGAGGTCCCTGACCCAGGTGAGCGGCGCCGCCCGGTGCCAAAGCCGCGGTGCCGGCGGCTGTGCCAAAACCAAAGCCAAACCCGACCCCGACCCCGGCGCCGGTGCCGCAGGTGAAGGAGCTCGGCGCTGCCGTCTACGACTGCCCCTGCTTGGCCCAAGACTTAGGCAAGATCTTCGAGGCCTATTGGGCTCTCGGCGTTGCCGGCGCCGCCATCCCGGTGCCGTGGCCGGCGAATTACTCCACCGCCTTCAACGCGGAGACGCCGCTGGAGCTGCTCCTCAACGGCACCGCCGCCGCCGTCTACTTCTCGGTACATCCCAACCCGTCCTTATCACCAGGCCCAGTGCCGCGGTGAGCACCGGTGCTGAGCCCATGGTGCTGCCGCAGAGCTCCCCGCCGCCGCTTTGTGCCGCCGGTCGCACCGAGGACCTCAGTGCCCTGCTCAGCGTCATCGATGCCGCCCAGGCCTTCGTGGACGTGGCGGTGATGAGTTTCCTGCCCACCACCGAGTTCTCCCACCCACAGAGGTTTGGGTCCAGCCCCAGGGCCACGGTGCCGGTGCCGGTGCTGGTACCGGTGCCCAAACCATTCCCCCTGCCATAGGTTCTGGCCGGCCATCGATAACGGGCTGCGGCGAGCCGTGGTGGAGCGGCACGTCAGGGTGAGGCTGCTGGTGGGCTGCTGGCGGCACAGCCAGGCCATCATGTTCCCCTTCCTCAAGTCGCTGGCGGCCGTCGCCAATAACCGGACCCGGTACAGCGTGGCCGTGGTGGGTATGGTAGTGAGGTGCTGGTGGGGGTTGTGATGGGGTTGTGGTGGTGTGGTCATGGTGGGTATCGTGGTGTGGTTGTGGTGGTGTGGTCATGGTGGGTATTGTGGTGTGGCCATGAGGGGTATCGTGGACTGGTCATGGTGGGTGTCATGGTATGGTTGTGGTGGGTATCATGGTTTGGCTGTGGTGGGTATCATGGTGTGGTCATGGTGGGTATCATGGTGTGGTTGTGGTGGTGTGGCCATGGTGGGTATCGTGGTCTGGCCATGGTGGGTATCATGGTGTGGTCATGGTGGGTATCATGGTCTGGTCATGGTGGGTATTGCAATGTGGTTGTGATGGGTATCATGGTGTGGCCATGGTGGGTATCATGGTGTGGCCATGGTGGGTATCATGGTCTGGTCATGGTGGGTATTGCAATGTGGTTGTGATGGGTATCATGGTCTGGCCATGGTGGATATCATGGTCTGGCCATGGTGGGTATCATGGTGTGGTCATGGTGGGTATCATGGTGTTGTCATGGTGGGTATCATGGTGTGGTCATGGTGGGTATCATGGTGTGGCCATGGTGGGTATCACGGTGTGGCAGCGATGGGCATCACGGTGTGGCTGCGGTGATCACCACGCTGCCGCCATGGGCCCAGTGCCGGTGCCTCACTGTGGCCTCCCTCCCCTAGCGCCTCTTCATGGTGCCGTCGAGCGCGGCGCAGGCGCGGATCCCCTATGCCCGGGTCAACCACAACAAGTACATGGTGACAGAGGCAGCCGCGTACATCGGTGAGCACGGCACTGCCGGGCCTTTGGGGGCCTGGTTTGGGGGGGGTCTGTGTCCAACCCCCCCTTCTTCACCCCCAAACCTCATTGCAGGGACCTCCAATTGGTCCGGGGATTACTTCACCCAGACGGCGGGATCGGCGCTGGTGATCAACCAAACGGTGAGTGCCACCGGTACCGGAACCAGCACCGGTACCAGCACCGGTACCAGCACCGGCACCATCCTGGAGCAGCTACAGGCGGTGTTCGAGCGGGACTGGAGCTCCCAGTACAGCGCCGACATCGGGGACACCGAGCGCTGGCAGAGCCTCTGTGGCTCCCGGTAGGCACCGGGGAGCTGCAGGCGCCGGCGGCACCGGATCCGGGCCTGTTTGGGCTGAAATTGCACCAAAACTCTCGATTTTTGCTGCTTTTTTGACTTGTGGTTTTTGGGGGGGGCGGGGTCTTTGGGGCAGCATCGAGGGGGAGCCAGGACACCCTGATGGGGATGCAGGGAGTCCAGGCACCAAAACCCATCCCCAGGCACCAAAACCCATCCCCAGGCACCAAACCCCATCCCCAGGCACCAAAACCCATCCCCAGGCACCAAAACCCATCCCCAGGCACCAAAACCCATCCCCAAGCACCCAAAACCCATCCCCAAGCACCAAAACCCATCCCCAGGCACCAAAACCCATCCCCAGGCACCCAAAACCCATCCCCAGGCACCAAAAGGGCCGATTTTGGGGTTAAATCTTTATTGCAGCCAAGCCAAGAGCAAGAAGCTGGGGGGGGGTGGTGTCAGTGCTGCCCCCCCCTTCCCGTTAATGGCATCATCCAAAAGCTTCAAACAGCCCCAAAAGAGCCGGGTTTGGGGGGGGGGGGGTGTTAAGGAGGGTTCGGGCAACAGCGATGCTCATGGGGGGGGTCCTTTGGGGGTCCATGGGGGGGGAGCATCCTCAGCGCCCCCCACAGATCGCGGGGCTCAACTTGGGGGTCCCCGCATGGAACTGGGGGGCCCCGGGGGGGCAGAGCTCGAGGTCGGGGATGCGGAGCCTCCGCCCCACCCCCTCTTTATGGGGGGGGCTTTGGGGGGGGGTCGGGGGGGAGAAACCCACCCTGGGCACCCAGCGCCGGGCTTTGCCCTCCCCATTGGGGCGGCGCGGGGGGGGGGTGCTCTTCATCCTCCCGGTCCCGGTCCCGAACCGGGGCCCTTTGAGCCCCCCCCAGCGCCCCGGTTCCGTTTCCAACCCCGGTACCTTCAATCCCCCCCCCGCATCCTCCAAGCACCGGGGTCCCGATGCCAACAGCGCCCGCAGCGCCCCGGGGGACCCCGGCACCGCTTTGGGGTCCCCCCCGCTGCGGAGATCGGGGCTGGAACCCCCAAACTTCCGCAGCTTCACCCCCACCTCCGGTCCTGGGGGCAGCTTCGGTAACGATGGAGACCGGCGCCGACCCGGGGGGGGCACCGGGACCGCGGCCCCAAACGGAGCCAGCGCCACCTTCGGGACCTTGAGCCCCGGTCCGGTTCCGAGCTTCCCCAAGGCCAACCCGACCCGAGGCAAAGCGAACCGGGGGGGCTTGGGTTTAACGGCCCCGGTGCCCCCCGTTGCGTCCGGTTTGAGCTTACGGAGCCCTTCGGTACCCAGGGGCAGCGCCAGCGCCACCTCCACCCGCGGCACCGCGATCCCGAGCGACGGCACCGACTCCAGGAGCCCCAAACGGGTCGGGGTTACCGGTAAGAGCGGTTCCGGGGCTTTGGGTACCAGCTCCACGGCGGGGATGGGAACGGACGGGAGGCGGAGGCCGCCGGGGCCGTCCCCATCGCCTTGAGGCTCCGGTACCGGTAGCACCGGCACCGCCACCTCCACGGTGGGGAAGCGGGGGCCGCCGGGGAGCTCCGCTTTAACCGGTGGCTCCACCATGGCCGCTGCTTCCTTCACCGTTAAACGGGGCCGCGGTGGCGCCGGTGCGGGGGGGGCCGCCGGGATCGCTTCGGTCTCGCTGCGGCTCTTCCCGAGCTTGGGAAGTTTGGGAAGCGCCAGCTCCAAGGATGGGGCCGCCGGAGGCTGCTGGGAAGAGGAGGGATGGGAACGGGCAGCGGGGGCAGAGGGGAGATGGGGTCCCGCATCCCGTGTCCATGGGGACCGGGGAGCATCCCGCATCCTGCATCCCGTGTCCATAGGGACCAGGGAGCATCCCGCATCCCGCATCCCGCATCCCGTGTCCATGGGGACCGGGGAGCATCCTGCATCCCGTGTCCATAGGGACCGGGGAGCATCCTGCATCCCACTCCGTGTCCATAGGGACCAGGGAGCATCCTGCATCCCGCATCCCGTGTCCATAGGGACCAAGGAGCATCCTGCATCCCGCTCCATGTCCATAGGGACCAGGGAGCATCCTGCATCCCGCATCCCGCATCCCGTGTCCATAGGGACCAGGGAGCATCCTGCATCCCACTCCGTGTCCATAGGGACCAGGGAGCATCCTGCATCCCACTCCGTGTCCATAGGGACCAGGGAGCATCCTGCATCCCACTCCGTGTCCATAGGGACCAGGGAGCATCCCGCATCCCGCTCCCGTGTCTATGGGGACCAGGGAGCATCCCGCATCCCGTGTCCATAGGGACCAGGAAGCATCCTGCATCCCGCATCCCGCATCCCGCGTCCATAGGGCCCCCCCCAGCACCCCGCACCCATGGGTGTCCCCCCCCACCCCTCTCCCATCGAGGCCCCCTCTCCCATCCCGTTCCCATCGGTCCCTACCGGGGCTGTCCCGGTGCCGGTGTCCGGTGCCCGGCGGCGGACGCAGAGCGAGACCCGGCAGCCGGCGGCGCCCTCGAGCAACCGAGCCACGACCTCGGGGGGGGCCCCCTCGAAGAGGATCCTGGCACCCACCAAGCGGTCACCTGCGGGGAAGGGACCCCCCCATCACATCCAGGTGGGATTCGGGTCCCCCCCATCGCATCCAGGTGGGATTCGGGTTCCCCCCATCGCATCCAGGTGGGATTCGGGTCCCCCCCATCACATCCAGGTGGGATTCGGGACCCCCCCATCACATCCAGGTGGGATTCGGGACCCCCCCATCACATCCAGGTGGGATTCGGGTCCCCCCCATCGCATCCAGGTGGGATTCGGGACCCCCCCATCACATCCACGTGGGATTCGGGACCCCTCCATCGCATCCAGGTGGGATTCGGGACCCCCCCATCACATCCAGGTGGGATTCGGGTCCCCTCCATCGCATCCAGGTGGGATTCGGGACCCCTCCATCGCATCCAGGTGGGATTCGGGACCCCCCCATCACATCCAGGTGGGATTC